AATCCCTACTCCGCGACACCCTTGCCTCTGGAATCGAACTCCAAACGTCCCAAATCTAACCAAAAATAATACAACACAATCAATATAGGCCAAGGAACCATATCTATACGAAAAACTAACAATTTAGACCAAAATCCCGAAATTCACCCAAAATCAGCCCCCGGGCCCACGTCTCGGAATTCGACAAAATCACAAAACTAGAAACTCCTTTCACTCACGAGTCTATACATACCAAATTCATCAAAATCCGACATCAAATGGTCCCTAAAATCCCCAAATCAAACTCTCCAATTTCATCCCTATTTTCTACTAATTTCATGCTCAAACAACTGAAAATTACCATAATCACAAGTATTAAGCTCAAATAACTTACCTCAATGTAAACCCCCTTGATTCCCTCTTTAAAACCTTCCAAAAAGCTCCAAGTCTGAATAAAAATGGTGGAAATAACTCAAATTTCGCGAAGGGTCCAATTTATACCTTCTGCCCAGACATTTTCGCACCTGCGGTCCAGCCTCAGATTCCAAATCCCGCATCTGTGGTCCCCTTTTGCTTCTACGGACCTCGCACCTGCGGTTCCCATTCCACAGGTGCGGTTTTGACAACTGAGAACAAATCTTCAGCATTCCTCCAAATTTCATCCTTGATCCGTCAACCACCCGAAATCAACTCGAGGCTCTCGTGACCTCTATCAAACATACCAACAAGTCACATATCAACATTTAAACTTATTCGAACCTTCAGAACACCCAAAACAACATCAAAACACCAAATCACCCTGGGATTCAAGCCTAAGAACTTCTAAACTTCCGAATTCCGCAAACGATGCTGAAACCTACCAAATCACATCCGAATGACCTGAAATTTTGCACACACGTCACAAATGATACTACGAACCTACTCTAATTTCTGAAATTCCATACCGACCCCAATATCAAAATTTCCACTGCCGATCGAGAATCGTCAAAATTTCAATTTCACCAATTCAAGCCTAATTCTACCACAGACCTCAAAATCACATCCCGGTCGCGCTCCCAAGTCCAAAATTATCTAACAGAGCTAACCGAACCATCAGAATTCACATCCGAGATCGTTCGCACATAAGTCAACATCCGGTTGACTTTTCCAACTTAAGACGTCTCAAAAGAGACTAAGTGTCTCAGTTCACTCCAAAACCACTCCGAACCCGAACCGACTAACACGATACAATGAAATACAGCTGAGGAACACATATGAAGCAGAAATAGGGAAAACAAGGCTATAAATCATGAAACGACCGGCCGGGCCGTTACATTTAATATACCACAAAAGAAGAATATATAGGATTTTGGTCTAGAATGAGGGAATGAAAATTAGGATAAGGGAAACTCATTTTTATAGTATACAAGTATTAAATGTTTGATTTAGGAATATAATGGGTATATCTAAAATTGAGTAATATTATAGAAATATTTACAATATTTTACCCTATTTTATATGACCACGTCCCATATAGAAGTACATTAGGGCACATAGAGGATAAAACAAGAAGAAATTACTCAGATGATTTGACTATATCATATGTAGTCCCACCCAATCGAGCTTTCAATCAAATCGTCGCACTGCAGATAATGCAATTATTGTTGAGGAAATCCTTTCACACTTTAAGCGCAGATCGGCCAAAATTAGTTATATGCTCCTTAAACGTGATTTAGAAAAAGTTTTTGACCGTATAGAATGGTCCTTCGTCTGACAAGCCCTACATTATTTCGACTTTCCTTTGCCACTTATCAAACTCATCATGTCTTGTGTCACCACCACCTCTCCCTCAATCCTTCTTAATGGGTCTCGCACCCCTTTTTTCAAACCCATATGAGGTCTTCGACAAGGAGATCCATTATCACCGTACCTTTTTATATTATGTATGGAATTATTTACAAGAAAAATTGATATGGCAGTAGACTACCAATTATGGCAACTTATCAGGTTATCTTGCATGACATTAGTCTAACATCCACTACTTCCACCAAAAGTTGCCACACTATAATTGATATCCTAAATGAGTTCAATCATCTTTCTGGACAAAAGATTAACTATTAAAAATAAATAAATAAATGTCTAGAAATTGTAACCCCCCAGACAAAAAATTTATCCTCACTTTCTTCCCCATTCGAGAAGCATCCTCCTTTGGCAAATACATGTGGGTTTCCCCTGTTCACGCCCAGACCCTCCAAAAGTAATTCAATTCCTTCTTGATAATCTTAAAACTAAGCTCGCTAGTTGGAAAACGAATTTTCTTATACAGACGGGACGCACCATACTCATTAACTCCAAACTTAACAGTCTTCCCAATCATGTCATGCAATATTTTAAACTCCCTCAATACATCATTAACCATCTCAAGCGATACCAATGCAATTTTTCTCTGGGGCACAACCCCACAATGGAAAAAAATACATCTTATGAAATGGAGCACAATTACCACTCCTAAGCAGCTTGGTGGCCTAGGCATTCAACCCCTTCATCTCAAGAACCAAACCTTACTCGCAAGCCAAGTTTGGAGATTACTTCAACAACCATCTTCCTTATGGGCTGCCACCCTACTACATGAATACTTCTACCACCGCAGACACCAAAACACAGCATGATCTTTCATTTGGTCAAACTTACTTGCCGGATAGCAACTTTGCCAACAAGGCATCCAATAGCTTATTGGCAATGGCTCTCTTGTCAATTTTTGGATAGATCCTTGGCACGGGTGCAATACAATTCTTTGTAACTCCTTAGGCGGACCTCTACCACGCCACACACTAACTAACACTGTCTCTACCTATTTTTTCCATGTTCACTAGAATTTCGCCTCCCTGCCTTTTGAACTACCCACATCCATACTCCAATGTATACACCATATCCATATTCCTTCTTACTCCTCATCCCCTGGCACCTTTGCTTGGGCCCTCATGTGGCATGGCACCTTACCACTATATCACTATATCATCAACTGATCCTTAAACCCCCTACTCCCTCATTCACCTGGATTTAGAAACTCCAAAAATACCTCCTAAAATAAAGCATTTCTTATGGATATGTCTTCACAATCGGTTACCCACTGCGGCTTATTATCATCACATAGGCCTTCTTACTACTGACATTTGTGCCCAATGTCATACTGGCTCGAAAACTATCCTGTACCTCCTCCTTGACTGCCCAGTATCTTTACAACTTTGGTCCGACTTCACATAACTCGGGAACTCACGACACTAAATAGTCATGCGGACCCCCTATTCAATGGCTGAAACAATTTATCTTGCACAACGATATTCCCAACCCACTCAATATCCCCATTACCATCCTGATACCTTTTTGCTTATGACATAATGAAAAAGTATTTCGCACCCATACTACACCCCATCCTCATCACATATTTTAAGAATGGCCGCAGAATACTATTACATTTATGCTCCACCATCGTCCCCTCACGGCCATATCCTCTTTACATCAAATGGCATCCTCCTAGCTCCCACCCTTTTAGACTAAACAATGATGGTTCTGCTCAGTTACCAACAGGACAAGGCGGAATTGGCGGTGTAATCCGTGACTCATTGGGTCCCTGGATTGTGGGATTTGCTGGTCACCATATCTCTGATGGGAGTGTGGAGTCAGAACTATTCGCACTTTATTATGGCCTGCAGTTAGCTTTTACACATGGTTATAAGCCATAAGAAGTGAATTTAGATGCCCAAGCAATCATTACTATTTTACAAATATCACATTCGCTTTATACTAACATTATAAATGATTGCAGGTTCCTACTCGCACACTTGGATGATCTAGCTCTACTTCACACATATAGGGAGCAAAACCAAGTCGCTGACTTACTTGCAAAGTATGGTAGCCAAATGGAGAGTACTGAAGGAATCACTGTATATACATAAATAACATCTTTTGTTCGAGCAGCACTGGAGGATGATCCCACATGCAAGCTTTTTGTTAGAAGATTGGCTCTAACAACTGTTCCACTTTCAAACCATTTGCAAACACTCCTTGAACATCCTTTATGTACTACTTTTAATATAGGCCCTAGCAGCAGCAGCAGCAGCAGCAACAACAACAACAACAACAACAACAACAACAACAACAACAACAACAACAACAACAACAACAACAGTAGTGGTAGTAGTTTCTCCCTGAACGCCCCTTTTTGTTATGACACATCAAGAGGTCGCCCCCTTAGAATGATGCATATGCTCCCTCGAACTGCTTGTACTACTATGCTTTAATAATAAATCTAGTTATCCTTTGCACAAAAAAAAAAAAAAAATAATACTATCATATGTAAGCTTCAAAATACACTGGTTACGTTGAGTAAAGATTTTTCAAATGACTTACGTCTTAAAATCTTAGTAGATTTGTCAAATAACTTAAAATATGTATGGACTATACTTATGTGTAATTTTCTCTACGAAAAATTTAAAGTTGATAGTTAAACTTTAAAACTTAAAATTACAATTTATTTAAAATAAAATTTAATGAAATAATATCAAATGTAACTTAATGTTGATAAAACTGAATAATGTTCTTTTCCCCCTTACGGCTTGTTTGGATGGTTGTTGCCTATTGTATTGTATCGTATTGTTATTTTAAATACAATGTTTGTTTTGATTGTTACTTAAATTTTATTGTATCGTATCGTTAAATCCGTCGTTACGTAACGATGAAATGTGTCACTTTATGTAACGATTGATTTGGTGTGGTCGTGTTGTTACCTTATCTTTTTCTCTCAATATCACTCTTTATTATTATTAAATAATTTTATTTTATCATTTACCTTACCTTTTTATATACCGTATCATAATTTTTCTTTATAATATTATAAGTTTATTCATCATATTACTGGTGCGTGATACCATAAAACGACGGTAAAATGACACAATTCATCCAAACATTATATTCGTCGAACAATACAGTACATTACAATACAATACCATATAATACCTTATGAAAGTATACCTAACCACCATCCAAACAAGCTGTTAATGTTGAGGATTGAAGGTGCGGAAGTGCTCGAGTCCATCCCTAAATTCTTAAACCTTAGTTTCCTCATCTCATTTCTCTCCACCTTTCAGAAAACCTTAAGCATACCCCAAATAAAAGCATAAAAACCAGTCTAAATTCATCCTATACACAGCCAATCTCAAAATCCCCATAAACATAGATATCCATTAAACTTCACTCAGTCATTCAATTTAACTAATAAATGGCGTGCAGAGTTCAACACTCCATTCATAACAGTCTATATTTCTTATCTTCAACCCCTTTGCGCAATTCTTTTAATATTAGAAAGTCTGATTTCAAGAATCGAATTAACTTTGGTAAAACTTTGCTTTCATCTCCTTCTTTTTCAAGAACTGCACTTTACTGCACTTGTAGCAGCAGTAGCAGTAATGGTAAAGATAGTTTCTCTCCAAATGGGAGCGATGCATTTGTACTCACAACTCCACTTTATTACGTTAATGCCCCTCCTCATATGGGCAGTGCGTATACCACCATTGCTGCTGATGCCATTGCCCGTTTTCAGGTTATACCCTTTTGAAATTCCAATTCTTGGTCTCAAATATTTGACCTTTATGTTTAATTTTATGGAGTTTTTTTTGTTTGGTTATAGACTTGTATGTTACTGCAGGGAGAAGTGTATCTCTAGTTTTAAAAATTGTCCAATTTACGTTAAAGACAAATTGTTTAGTCGCATTAGAATGAATAGAGTGAGAACAAAGAGGAACAATATAGAGGATTCATATAGCTCACTCTAACTAGGTTGAGATTGAGGTATAGTTGATCGATTATCTAATATAGGATTCATATAGCTGACCCCAACTATTCTAGGTTGATATCTAGGTGTAGTTGATTGATTATCTAGTTTTGACGGAGTGAAATTATCTTTGCACTACTTCTTTAGGGTATCTCATATTCATAGCCGGTTTTGTTCCTACTATGAATTCGTGTACATTCTCTGTTTTTTTCTTTGGAATACAAGGTTATAGCCTCTTTTATACTGATTATCTTATCACAATTGGAAGTATCTTGTAATATGAATTTGAGAGGATTGAACTCTTTCGCATACTTTGTTTGTTAGGCATAGATGGTAATTGGAGCCTCCTTTTCTCAGTTTTGTGTAAAACTTCCTTGTGGTTGTGATCCCTGAGTCTGCAAAAGAGTCAAATGTATTTTGCTTTTGCATCCATTTCTCTAAGACCGCTTTAACTTCTGGGATCAAATTTATTTATTCTGGATAGGTAATCCTAGTATGAAATGAGCAAATGAAGTGGATTCATGTGTCGACCCTGAACTAGTTTAGGCTTTACGCTTACTAGCAGATTTTGTTTTGTGTCCTAGTATGAAATCTAGAAGCACCTGAACAAAAAAGACATCACTTATAAAAAGAATTAGAAGGTAAAAAACTATCAGTACCTCTACTCTCTGGTTCTTATTATCTTTCTGGTCTCTGTTGCGGTTACTGATCTATTGTCTCTTTTCGTCTTTTTGAGCCGAGGGTCTATCGGAAACAACCTCTCTACCCCGGGGGTAGGGGTAAGGTCTACATACACACTACCTTCCCCAAACCCCACTTCTGGGGATTTTAGTGGGTTGTGGTTGAAAAAACTATGTCAGACACCTCTCTCCCTCACCAGAGAGCGGGTGCAGGAGGCTAAAATATAGAAAATTTGAAGAAAAGATGCCTCCATTAATGGACTCCACAAGATATGGTTTTAGCCTTTTAAATAGAAGGAAGGGACATAATAATGTGAGTCTCCTTTAACGCATGTCCTGATGTGAAATTTTTATGGGCTGATGCTTGCAGAGTTCCTTTTGTTGCAGAGGCTACTTGAGAAGAAAGTTATATTCATCACTGGCACAGATGAACATGGAGAAAAGATTGCTACTGCAGCTGCAGCTAATGGTTCCAGTCCAAGTGAACACTGTGACGTTGTATCACAAGCTTATAAAGCTCTCTGGAAAGATGTATATTCTTCAAACTAGTGCTTATTCATCTATTTTGCTCTTAAGGATATTATCAGGAATGTTCTTTTTTGATTGGGTGGGTAGGCAGATCAGAGAAGGGTTCAAAATTAAGACCTTAGTTCATGTAATAGGAGCTCTCATCAATCGAGCTAATGCTTTTTATTTATTTAATTGTTACTGCAGTTTGACATAAGTTATGACAAGTTTATCAGAACAACTGATCCAAAACATGAAGCTGTTGTGAAGGAATTTTACTCTCGGGTTCTTGCCAATGGCGACATATACAGGGCTGATTATGAGGGACTTTATTGTGTCAATTGTGAGGAGTACAAGGTGAGGACTCAATTGTTATTGTTTTAATTAAAACTTGTCCCTTCCCTTCGTATGATGTGCTTGTCCCCATAATCTATTATACATGATCATAAAATTTTACTATGTTTTCCCATGTCTCAGTAGTCACTCTAGGCACGAGGCATTCGAGTCATTGGTTCTTTCATATGAATTTTCATTCATGGTTGAAGATAGTAACCTTGTCTACGTGGTTTTGAATAACTTCCGTGTGACTTTGAGCCCTATTCCACTGTGCATTGAGGCTTGGCTTAATGTTCTGCAGGCCCTGAGCCTCACAAGTGTCATCTCTTTCCGGCACTGCGTCAGTGCCTTTTAACTATAATGTTTTGAATTATAATATAAAATAGAAATCATTTTCCATCTTTTACTTTCTCTAGCACTTTCATGGTGATTGATTGCAACACTGCGGTCTTATTTAATAGTATATAGATAGTCCAATGTTTGTATATAGTTGAGAAAAGATAGAAGGATTCATGACATTATACGAATGCCCTATAACTCAAACAACTCAAATTATGCAATATCCAACTAAGCACATGCTGCTATGGCATTTATGCATGGCTAAATCTAGTTTGTTTATTATTGGGCAGTCCATTTGTAACATTGGAAGAGTTGCAGGACGAGAAGGATTTGCTGGCTAATAACTGTTGTCCTACGCACTTAAAGCCATGTGTGAGAAGAAAAGAAGATAATTACTTCTTTGCTTTGTCAAAGTATCAACAACAGCTGGAAGAAATTTTAAGGCAAAACCCTGGATTCGTGCAGCCCTCTTATCGTCTAAATGAGGTAATTTGGTTTAGAATTTTACGATCTGTACCTTATTGGCTCATAATATCACCTGGAGGAAGCTAGAAGAGATTCATATCAGATTGGCTTCGGCTAAATACGTAAACAATATCTATGTTCGGAGAATATCTCATTCCTGGAATTTGCTCTCACTTCTCATAAACGATATGGTCAGTAGCCGAATATAGTTAGCTATGCCTTCCTGTCCAAAGCATCATTTACCTGGAGGTGAAGATTCACTATTTTGATTGATATGTCATTAGTTCAGTTAAACTAGGTTCACTAGAGATGAATTACATTATTTCTTTTAATCACGAAAAAAAAGAGATGAATTTTATTACTCAGTGAACCAAAAGATATTCATCCTGCAAAAAAATTCATCTCAACTGTAAGAAATCTGTAGGCAGGTTATGTAGCATCCCTCAATACTAAATATAATGCTTAAAAATATAGACACATGCTCTATTGTCATTTGATAAATGTGACTACTGCTTTCTGAAATATTGTCCTATTTGCTGTCTCAATTCACACCCTGGTCATAATTCATGTTGTTTCAAAATAATATGAAATATAACTGATATAGGCTATTTAAAGGTCCAAGGTTGGATTAAAAGCGGCCTGAAAGATTTCTCTATTTCTCGAGCATCAGTAGATTGGGGTATCGCGGTTCCTAATGATCCTGAGCAGACTATATATGTGTGGTTTGATGCTTTATTGGGGTAAGTCATCTATTTCTCTAGCACTTTCCAAATTTAGATGTTTCGACCTTTTGATATTTTCTGTCTATCTTTGGATTCAGTTCAATATGTTACTCAATAGTGTTAGTGCTGAGTCAAAAGTTCCTCTAGTCAACATGTTTCAGTAATTGAACTGTTTTATGAACATAGTAGCAAAGGGATCTCATTGTTATGTACCCTGATAATGATGTTTCATTCTTCCACTTTCTTATCTTAATCCCCCTCGTCACTCTCTTCTCTGTTTTCCATTTTCTGGGTCAAACAGTTATGTATCTGCACTTTTGGAGGATAACGANCTTCCTTGGTAGTCTCTTACAAAAACTAGTCGGCATTGACAGAAATGGATATTACTCACACTAAAGGGGAAGACTAAGCACATAGTTGGGAATTTAAATTACGTTCTAATGCTATTTCAAGTTTCTCTCCGAACAACTATTAAAGGGCTATGGAGATGTGCAACTCTTTTTGGTGTATCCCAATTTGTATCTTCTCGATCTTTGATGTTAGTTGTTGTTCCTTGGTTAACTATGAAGAGACTCAGATGTTTGACATTAATATTTTTTCTGTATTACGTTCAAAGTTCTCATTTTGGATGCTTCTTTGGTTAGACCTAAAAGTATCTTGTTATCTTTACTTAAGCAGTTTTGGCAAGCTAAAGTTCCTTTGCATATTCCTTTTATTGATTTAATCAATGTGTCTTCGTAACAATTTTGACAGGACATATTGCGATTTCATGCTGTTTATTGGCCAGCTATGTTATTGTCAGCAGGAATTGGCCTCCCTAAGAGGGTATTTGGCCATGGATTCTTGACCAAGGTATTCATGTTATTTTTAACTCTTTATTTGTCTTGACCTCGGAGATCTGGCTCTTCTACATTGTTTGAATTGTAGTTTATTATTACCTATTCCATCTCCTCACCAACCACTCCTCCACAAAAAAAAAAAAAAAAAAAAAAAGAAAGTAAAAGAAGATGAAACAGTAGATGAAGTTCCTATATGTTTGAGGAGTTTCTTGCTACTGTACAGATTTTATATCTGCTGCGACATAGTTCTGATTCTTCCTTCATATGAAGCTTTGGAGAAGCATGCAGCATAATGTTTCTACGAATGATAAAGTTCTGTTCAAATGCAAAAGTCTTTTCCGTTGAATAATTTTGTATTTTTCTATCTGGACTGCATTAAGCATTAACATTGGTCATAATGTAATAAACTTGGTCCCCATAAAGGTTAAACTTAAGAATTGCATTCATATGATTTACTATTTCAAGCTATGTAACTTAGATAAAAACATATAGGCGAGCATGCAGGTTATGCTAATTAATTTTATAGACTATACAATTGATGATTTCATGTAGCTGTGCTTCTATTTTTGAAATTTTAGGATGGCATGAAGATGGGCAAGTCACTTGGAAATACGCTTGAGCCAACGGACTTGGTTCAGAGATTTGGACCTGATGCAGTGAGGTACTTTTTCCTCAGGGAAGTTGAATTTGGTAATGATGGTGACTACTCAGAGGAACGGTTCATCAACATCATAAACGCACATTTAGCTAATACCATTGGTACTTAATTCGTTCTGAATATGATGCATTGCCAGTTGATTCTGGTTAAATCACTTTTTGGAGCTTAGGCATGGATATTAAGTCTGACCTTAGGATTATCAATGCAGGTAATCTTCTAAACCGCACACTTGGACTTCTGAAAAAGAACTGCCAATCAACTCTGGCGGTTGATTCATATGTTGCGGCAGAAGGAAACAAATTCAAGGTTGCGGTGGAAAAACTGGTAAACACATCTCTCCTTTCATATATTGAGATGTATATGATAGTCTAAATTACATTGTTCATCTTGATGAACCTAGACGAGTATACGCACTTCTTTAGGACTTCTATTCCTTGAATTTGAAGCAAAACGAAAACAGTGGACAAGAAAAGACCTCCTTTTTCTTTAAGTTTGATGATATAATGTCTTCTATTTATAGGTAGAGAAGGCACGTGTGCATTATGAAAATTTGGAGTTATCAGCAGCTTGTGAGACTGTGCTGGAGATTGGTAATGCTGGAAATTCATACATTGATGAGCAGGCACCGTGGTCTCTTTTCAAAAAAGGGGAGACAGCCTTTGAAACTGCAGCAAAGGTATTTCTCCAAGTGTTTTTGGTCTTGAAGTTCATCTTGATGTCAGTTAAAAAGATGAAGCAATAAAATTTTTCTTGAATATAATCATAAGAAGATCTAAGTTTCCTTGTGTGGTACTCCAATTCATTACTCTGGAGGGAGTATTTTGTAAAAGAGGATGTCCAGCGCGTGATGTGCGGGTTAGACACACGTCACGAGTTCAAACCTTGCCGTGAACAAAAAGCCTGGTATCTAAGTGGAGAAGGGTAAAGGGGTGGGTTATCCACCGAATTTCATGAATGTGCATCAACTGGTCCTCGGTGATTTCTTGGTTATTAAAAAAAAAGGAAAAAAAAAAACAGAAGAAAAAAGAAAAGAATGTCCATTTTCTTCAAGCGGTTTCCGTGAATTACTTTAGTTCAGAACTCATTAAAGTCATCATCATTGTATTCTAAGACGCTTATTCTTCCCTTTTAATTAATTTATTAGGATCTTGTAATTATACTGGAAGCAATGAGAATCATAGCAGTCGCGCTATCCCCGATTACACCAGGCTTAAGCTTGAAGATATATTCACAACTTGGCTACACTGAGGACCAATTCAATGCTGTTAACTGGGTACATTGATCTTTCTTTCGTTATATTTTTTTCCTCCAATTTCTAGCAAACCCCGAAACGTCTTTGGAAGTGATCGAGTATCTTGTTTCAGAGTGATACCAAATGGGGCGGGCTGAAAGCTGGTCAGGTAATGGCACAGCCGACGCCAATTTTTGCCAGAATAGAAGATGCAACTGAAGCAGAAACCAAAGGTGCAGCAACAAAGAAAGTTAAAAAAGAGAAGGTGCCGAAAAGTAAGAGTCCTGTGGAAGCTTAGAACTCTTTTTCATTGTAGTCCTTCTAATGCCTTTTTACTTCCTCTTTGAAATGTAAAACATAGATTCATTTACATAAATATTTTTTTTGATGAAGAATATATTCATTTACACAAATATAGTTTGTGTGATACTGCTAGTTCTCTGATGCCTGGAGTTTTAACCAACTATTGAATCCTAGAAATGACTAATAGATGATTACAGTATTTTCACATGGTATGCTGGCTGACATTTCATGACCTCAATTCCTTTAAATGGTTTGGATTTGGGAACATGAATAAAATGAAGTTTGAAGGTTGACAGGTAGTCGGGAGTTTCTCCTAGTCTTACCAGTAGTATTAGTACTATTCTTGGATCTTTATTATTACACGGGTCGTCCAGTTCCGTTATCCTATTACCTTCTTGTTGCTTCCTTTTCACTGTTCCTTGAGCCGAGGGTCTATTGGAAACAATCTATCTATTTTCACAAGGTAAGGTAAGGTCTGCGTACACATTACCCTCCCCAGACTCCACTTGTGGGATTACACTGGATTTTTGTATTGTTGTTGCTGTAATAAAAGGAAGTTTGAGAAATCTTCTCATCTGGAGACATGAATAGAAGGAGGGTTGAGCAATTTGGTTGCAGTCGAGACTTACAACATAAACACAGTTATTACTCTCTCCGGTCCTCTTTATCTATCACTTTAGCCGAAAAATAAATTAAAAAAATTGGTCCAAAATGTTTGTCACGTTAGAAAACCAAGAAGGCGTTATTTCCCCCCTTCAATTCCACTCTTATTATTCCAAGAGGACATATGGTCATTAATTACTCATTTAAGGAAGAGGAATAATTTAGTCAAATATTCATAATATTAATATTATCAAATGAAAGTGCCAAAATTTTAAACGAATAAAAAGGACAGGAGGGAGTAATAACTAACCCCATTTACTCTTTACAATTTATATGTTCCAAGGCAAAGTAGCAACTTTGCACGTTTCGGGACTTTAATCTAATGGTAAGAGCGTATTATGTGGTATATGAGTTAAACACATATTATGAGTATGAGGCATAGACAAAAAGTCTGGTATTTAAATGACAGAATGTTAGAGCTCATCATCCATCGAGTTTCGAACCTTGCGTCACTGTCTAGTGAAATTTTTTCGATTATTATAAAAATGTTTCTAGGTAAAGTCCCAACTTTTTTTAAGGAAAAGAGAAGTTTTACCAGCAAATTAAGACCAGGTTTAGATGGATAAGTTGCAAAGTTGTTCGAGTTACTCTTTCATCTTAATGCAATTTTAAAATTGATCCTATACAACTTTTAAGCTTATTCACAGAAGGAGAAGACTATGGGTGTGTTGGTATAAAGGAAATGTTTTCCAAGAAAATGTTTTTTTGGAAAACAAGTAGTAATCTTATTCATTTTCCGTTGTTTGGTACGCAAATTAAGGAAAATGACTTCTCAAGAGTATTCATAAATAATTTAGATATAATAAACATGAACCATAAACTTTCAAACCAACAACCTTCCGAACCCACAAATTTCATAAAGTTTCGAACCGTTAAACTATCGAAACCGCAGAATTTCGAACCCGTAAACTTTATAATTTCTAAACATGTAAGCTTCAAGACACATAAACTTCCAAACTCATAACTTTGGAACTTGTAAAATTTTGAATCTTTAAACCGATAAATAAAAAAACTAAAACNGATTGATAAGGAGTTTTGGAAAATGTTTTCTCTTCTCTTGATAAGGAAAATATTTTCCTCCAATTGGAGGAAAATAAGTTCATACGGAAAATGTTTTCCAAAACATTTAAGCCAACCAAACATGGGAAAATTAGAAAATATTTTTGGGAAAATGTTTTCCTTCATACCAAACACACCCTATATGTCTGTTAATTTTGGAAAGAATTACAAGCAAATACACATGACTTCACACCATAACAAAAAATGGCCCATGTTTTTAAGTTTACCCAACCTAGCCCATATTGTACATATTTTGAAAGCACTAGCAAATTCAAAAATTGTGTTCTTACAACCAATGCTTCTAAAAGCTATGAAGTTAAATTTGTGTTCTCACAACCATTGCTTTCACTCTCTCTTCTTCTCACATCTTCTACATATGCTTCAAGGGGTGGTCCGCCATTACTGCTTCTCCTCCTGTGTCACCTGGTTGCAATATAAGAAAATTGAAGAGTAGAAGTCCATCATTGAAGGCCATTCAAAGCTTTGCTTTCAAAAATCGGATTTTTTTAGTTTGTTAGTTGTTTGGATTGGGTATTCTTCCAATTGATTGAAAATATCAGAAGGAGTTCAAAATTTAAATTTGAAGTGATTTGGAGTAGATTTGAGCAAGATTTGAGTTAAATTTCAGAGAAAACGCAAGGAAGAAGACGATGTCAGTTTTTCGTATAATTATGTATAATCTAGTATAATAGTGTATGCGAGTGTATAAACACATCTTATACATTATTATACACTTTTATACACCTTTATACAAGTGTATGTAGACAAACTTCTTCCACGATTTTCTGTTGCAATTCTTGTTCAAAACCAGTCCAAATCTCCGTTAAATGACTTCAAATTTTATATTCAACCTCCTTATACTATTTCTAACAAGTGTAAATAACACCCACTCTAAATTTCTCACAAAATCAAATTTGAAATTTAAACCCACATATTTAAGCTTGTTAAAAATCTAATTTTCACCACCCAAATGGATTTGATTTATTGAGCTAATATTTGAATCACAATTACTGATTCGAAAATTAACTTAAAAGCTTGAACAATCTTTTTTAAAAATTAAATAGTAATATCGGGAATCTATTGAAGTTGCATGTTGAGTATTAGCCTATTATTTTTGGGCTAGTTGGTTGTAAATTGAAATATGAGCTATAAAAATAAAAACTAGGGAGCCCAATTATTTTTATGTGAAATTTTCTCTTAATTTTGGCAGTTGCTAGACAAGTGATACTGTTGCAACTCTGAACTTTTATTCAGAGAATTTTTGGCTAAAAACATCCTTGAACTATGGGTCAAATCTAAGGTACATCCTTGTGTTACTAAAGTAAACAAAAAACATCCTTTAACTAATCTAGAAGTTGCAATAACCATTCTTCCATTTAGTTTTTGTCAAGAACTAACGAAATCAATCAAAACACATGTCAAGCACGTGACTTTTCCCCAAAATTTCATGTTCTATCCCTCCCTTTGTATTCAACCTTCAATGAAGCAAGGCTTTGAAAAATTGAAGTTTTTGTTTATTCTAAAGTCCAACTCTTTCTCAGTTTTAGGTCATTAAAACTGGAAAAGCTATTGTTTTGACACAATTTGCCTTCTTAAGCTGTAGTTATGCGTCATGAAAAAAAATAAAAGTCAAGTCTATAATCTTTCTCTTCTTTATTGTTCCAGCAGTGTTTTAATTGGTTAACGTAGTTGACGAGTGGGATTAATTTAGTTTTGTTCTTTACATCTTCTTCATCTCCAAAGAGATGATCGTCTTTGCTAAGGAAATCTAGAAAATAACTATACAATAATTAAGATCTGCTAAGTTAGAGGTGCCACTTACCTGTTTTGGTAAAATGCTTTATGCATGTTCTGTGTGAATTTCAAGTCATATTATTCAGTGAACTAAAGTTAGCATATTTTAGTTCGCTTATGTAGTAGACCTCTGGTTATTTGAATTGGCTCAAAAGAACCTTCATCTTATCAGAATCTCTGAATTGTAAACATATCAATATAGTTGAAGTACTGCAGAAGGTAATAGTATAAAATTTATTGAGTTGTTTCCATGATAAATCATCATCAACCTGTTGTGATTAATTAAAAGCTCTGAGCAGTACTTTTAACCAGAAGATTGAGGGGTAAGTCACATGTTTTAATTTGATTTAGGAGAATAACCTGCTTTTGTCTCTTCTTAGTCTGACTTTGCTCTATATTATTTTATGAAGTTCAAAATGAAAGAAAGTTCAATTTCTGAAGTCTTAGTTTCGATGAAGGTGGAAGATGATCGGGCTGAGGGACACATTTGAGAGATTGAGGAGGGAAGCCACGTGTGTTGGTTTATGCTGTTAGTTTCTTGACGGAAACTAAACACAAGGATGGTTGTTGCAACTTCTAGAATAGTTAAGGAATGTTTTTTGTTCAATCTAGTAACATAAGGATGTACTTTAGGTTTGAACCATAGTTGAGGAATGTTTTTAGTCAAAAACTCTTTATTCAGATTACAAGAAAATGAGTTAATTATAAAATTTTAATTTCATTTAACTAAACCATAAAAGATAAAGCTGAAAATAGATAGGAAGCACGTATGTGAGACTTTGGTCATAAATGTGTTAGCCAATAATGCACGATATAAGTTTTTGTCCATATTGTTTGAATAGTTGAGTAAACATTTATTTTTGAATTTTTACCTCCTATAACAAAGGTTGATACATTATTTATTTTAACTAAATACCCTTTTAAAAAATTATATTACATAGCTACCTTTTGATTTTTATAGCCAAATATCTATTTATGATCACCTCCTACTCTTAAGCCATAAAATACGCCTTGTATTATTTTTTTCTCATTCTTTCAGATTTTTTCCCCCTCTCTCTCAACTCCAGTCTTTCTCCATGAATACAACCATGATTCTCCCAAATACAGATCGAAACGGGCAGCTTTGACTCTCAATTTGGAATTTATATTACCAAGTCTCCCCTGCACAGAACGAAAGAGCCAACACTTCTTTCCCCGGTAGTCCAAATTTAAAGCAGCTCTAGTACTATTCATGAGAGAAGAAAATCTTCTGATCTAAAGCTTAAACCCTAAGTTAATCGCCATGGCAGCTATGGTGTTCTCCGTACAAACACGATCAAACCTATGAGACGGAGTGATGGAATTGACCAATTCCTTCCGCCTAAGCCTTCTATATTACCGAGTAACTATATTAGGGTGATTAAAGACATGTATGATGGAGCTAAGACTCGAGTTAGGACA